ATTATATTTCTTTCACTATAAATAATTGAAGTTTGCAAATGTTTGATGAAACGCTTCTCTAATATTAAAACTTATAATTGGAAATTTGTAATAGAAAGAAAGAAGATGAATGATGAAAGTTACTAATGAACAATAATGACTCTTTCAAAAGCAAATGAATAAAGAGAGGTTGCGCTGCTATCAAGAAATACTTACCTTTCGAACCTAATATTAAGAAATAAAGTTAAAGTTAATTAATTAACGTCTCTTTCAAAGAAAGCAAAAGTGCTTCTATTCCTCACGTAAGTTACTTACAATCCCGAACCTAAAATAAAAGAAACGTTAGAAACATATTTATTAATGTTGTAGCCCAAATGCGTTAATGTCCGAAATGCGCATTTCATTTATCTAAAATCTGAATACTTTATCCCAAATGACCTTAGATATTTTTTTGACTATAAATTGGATCATTTTAAATAATTTATTATATTTTGTTAAAAATTTAAAATCTTAAATAGTAAAAAAAAAAAAAAAAAAATAAATATGCAAAAAAACTTTATGTATTCATTTCTGCGTTGATTAATCTGCTTTGTTTGGTTTTAGTAACCTGCTTCGATCAATTATCCTAATTTGATCGCAAAATGCTTTGCCTTTAACAACCTTTAAAGAAAATAGAAACCCAAAGGAAAAATTTGTCATTTGGGACAGTCTGAAATGACCGTTAGAATTTCTATAGTGTCATTTAGTTTTCCGAAATGATAATTTGTGACATAAGCGCATATCTACATTTGGGCTATTTGGGAAATCCGAAAATGCATTTGGATTACAACAGTACCATTTTCCTAAGCAAACATACATGGAAATTTGGCTAAAGGTGCATGCATGATCAACAATAGGAAATTATTTAATGAAATAACAATTTTTTTCAGCCTTCTCAAATTGACTTTTTTTCTTATGAATATACTCTTTATAACCATGAAGAATGTAAATGGTAAGCTGAAGGTCGTTTAATATATTAATTACTTGTGTAATAAACTTAACTAAACTTATTCATTACTAGGGGGGTGTAAGTAATTTTTATTAATCATCACCGCAGGTGATATCACCTAATAAAATTAAAAAATTCAGATGTATAGACGATATCACCACTGGTGTGAAATAAGTTATTTTATTACTATTACATACATTGATTTCTAAAACAGATTTTTTATTTAAATGTATCAAAGTTGATATTATAGATGGTAAGTATTTATTTCATCTATTTCAACTTGTAAATTCTAATATAGATTCATCAATAATATTTTACTTCAAATAAAATTAAAAATTTAACATCAATTAATTTTTTTTAATATAAATATATTTTTATATTTATATTAATCTAAATTTAAATAAATTTCTAAATTGGTTTAACGAATATTCAATATAACAGACGGTTAGTTACCTTATTGAAACATTAATTGTTAACTGCATGTTTTACATAATTTAAACTAAACTAAATTAAATTTTAATAACGGGAAATAATGTCACACAATATAATATAGCCACATTTTATCAATATGGATGGGGAATTGAAAAGAATTTAGAAAAGGCATTCTATTGGTATCAAAAATCAGCAAATCAAAATAATAACATTGCGCAATATTATTTAGCTAAATGCTACCAAAATGGATGGGGAATTGAAATAGACTTAAAAAAAGCATTTTATTGGTATAAAAAATCAGCAGATCAAAATAATAGTGTTGCATAATATTATTTAGCAAAATGTTATCAAAATAGATGGGAAATTGAAATAGATTTAAAAAAAAGCATTTTATTGGTATAAAAAATCAGCAGATCAAGATTATAGTGATGCACAATATTATTTAGCAAAATGTTATCAAAATGGATGGGGAATTGAAATAGACTTAAAAAAAGCATTTTATTGGTATAAAAATCAGCAGATCAAAATTATAGTGATGCACAATATTATTTAGCAAAATGTTATCAAAATGGATGGGGAATTAAAATAAACTTAAAAAAAGCATTTTATTGGTATAAAATATTAGCAGATTAAAATTATAGTGATGCATAATATTATTTAGCAAAATGTTATCAAAATGAATGGGAAATTAAAAAGGACTTAAAAAAAGCATTTTATTGGTATAAAAAATCAGCAGATCAAGATTATAGCGATGCACAATATTATTTAGCAAAATGTTATCAAAATGGATGGGGAATTAAAATAGACTTAAAAAAAGCATTTTATTGGTATAAAAAATCAGCAGATCAAAATAATAATGATGCACAATATAGTTTAGCAAAATATTATCAAAATGGATTAGGCATTAAAATAGATTTAAATAATGCATCTTATTGGTATAGTCAATCAGCAAAATTTGGTAATAAAGAAGCATTTGATTTATTACAAAATTTAGCAAATGACGAGCATGTATTTTCACAATATTATTTAGCAAATGTTATCAAAATGGATGGGGAATTAAAATAGACTTAAAAAAAAGCATTTTATTGGTATAATAAATCAGCAGATCAAGATTATAATGATGCACAATATTATTTAGCAAAATGTTATCAAAATGGATGGGAAATTGAAATAGACTTAAAAAAAGCATTTTATTGGTATAAAAAATCAGTAGATCAAAATAATAATGATGCATAATATAGTTTAGCAAAATATTATCAAAATGGATTAGACATTAAAATAAATTTAAATAATGCATCTTATTGGTATAGTCAATCAGCAAAATTTGGTAATAAAGAAGCATTTGATTTATTACAAAATTTAGCAAATGATGAGCATGTATTTTCACAATATTATTTAGCAAAATGTTATCATAATAGATGGGGAATTGAAATGGATATTAAAAATGCATCATTTTGGTATAGTCAATCAGCAAAAAATGGTAATAAAGAAGCATTTGATTTATTACAAAATTTAGCAAATAATGAGAATATAGTTTCACAATATTATTTAGCAAAATGTTATCAAAATGGATGGGGAATTAAAATGGATTTCGAAAATGCATTTTATTGGTATAGTCAGTCAGCAAAAAATGGTAATAAAGAAGCATTTGATTTATTACAAAATTTAGCAAATAATGAACATATAATTTCACAATATTATTTAGCAAAATGTTATCAAAATGGATGGATAATTGAAAAAATTGAAAATAAAGCATTTGAATTATATGAAAAATCAGCAAATCAAAAATATAGTAATGCATATAATATGCTAGGATTTTTATATAAATATGGTATAGGAATTGAAAAAGATTTAGAAAAAGCATTTTATTGGTATCAAAAATCAGCAGAAAATGAAAATAAAGTTGTATAATACAATTTAGGAAATTGTTATTATTATGGTATATTTATTAAAAAAAATATTAATAAAGCATTTGAATGGTATAAAAAATCAGCTGAGCAAAATTATAATAAAACACAAAATTATTTAGGATATTTTTATGAAAAAGGTATTAAAGTAGTAAAAAATTTAAAAAAAGCATTTTATTGGTATCAAAAATCAGCAAAAAATGAATATTATATTGCACAATGCAATTTAGCTATTTGTTATCAATATGGTTTAGATATTGAAAAAGATATGATTGAAGCATTTAAATGGTATAAAAAATCTGCTGAAAATGAAAATGAATTTGCACAATATAATTTAGGATTTTATTATGAAGAAGGTGTTTTCATTAAAAAAGATTTAAAAAAAGCATTTTATTGGTATCAAAAATCAGCAGAAAATGAGAATGATATTGCACAATACAAATTAGGATATTTTTATGAAAAAGGTATTAAAATTAAAGAAGATTTAAAAATGGCATTTTATTGGTATCAAAAATCAGCAGAAAATAAAAATAAAGATGCCCAATATAATATAATTAAATGTTATATAAATGGAATAGGAATTGATGAAGATTTAGAAAAAGCATATAAATGGCATCAAAGATTAATAAAGAATGAAAATAAATCTAGCAGAAGTTTTGGAAAATATGAAGCTAATAGTCAAAATATTAATCAAAATATTAATGTAATCGAATTTATTAATAATTCCTTAAAAAATCAAGTTAAATTTATATCTTTTAATGAATTTACTGATTTAAAGCAACTTGATAAAGGAGGTTTTGGAAGTATTATAAAAGCAACTTGGTTAAAGACTGGTAATTTTATTGTATTTAAAAGATTAATAAATACAAATATTATTAAGCAAGATGCTTTTATATATGAATTAAAAATTCATTTATATCTTAATTATTGTAATCAAATTATACATTGTTTAGGCGTTAGTCAAGGTAATTATTAATTATTATATATTTTTTTATTTTTTAAAAATTAATATTTGTTTATTAATTTATTAATTGCAGATCCAAATACAAATGAGTACCTTCTTGTAATGCAATATGCTAATGGTGGCGATCTTCAAAATTATCTTAAAAATAATTTTAATAATTTAACTTAGTATGATAAGAAAAATTTAGCAATTCAAATTGCAAATGGATTAAATTACTTGCATAATGAAGAAGTTTTACATAGAGATTTAGTAAGTTTTATTTTGTTTTATTTATTTCTATTTTTATTAAAATAATTTTTAGAAATTTATTTAAAATTCTATAAATCTAATTTAGCATTCTAAGAATATACTTATTCATAACAATAATGCTAAAATTACAGATTTTGGTATTTCAAAAATTGGAAATAATTCTACAATACATATCGGACCTTGTGGTAAAACAGCTTATATAGAGCCACAAATACTTTGCAATCACAATTTTCAGTATATTAGGCCTTCAGATATTTATAGTTTTGGTGTTTTGATGTGGGAAATTTCTAGTGGACATCCGCCATTTGAAGATAAGTTTAACAATAATCACGATCTTATTATTTCTATTACTTGTTATAATGCTCATGAAACTACTATAACGGATACACCTGAGGATTACGAAAATCTTTATAAAAGATGTTGGAAACAGGAGCCTGATCAAAGACCAATTATTGAAGAAGTATTGAAAAAATTTTTGAAGATGGGCTTTGGAAATAAAGTTTGCTATGAAACATCCAAAAGTAAATACTTTATATTAAAAATTTTATTATAATTTATATTATTTTTAATTAATTCTTTTCAATTTATATATAGACATAATTACAGAACATATAGTTAAGAATTCAGAACCTTATTCAAAAGTTGGCGATTCTGTCCAGATTGATACCTATGATGAATTATCTAGTAAGTTTGCCTATTCAAAGTTCGATCTGTAAAGCAGAAACTTATTAATTTAAATTTAATTAATTAATTTTTAGTAATAAATTATGAAGATTAGAGCATCATTTATTTATTTATTTTTTTTAGTTTCTTCATTTTAAATAAGTTTAAGCGGAGAATTGTATAGAGAAGTTATTAATAGCAAAGTTTTAACTCAAATAAATTTTTTTAAAAAATAAATATGTATACATTTTTATAAATGAATTTTACAGTAAATGATTATTTTTTATTGCACAGAATATGAATTGTGATACGAAAACCCAATAGGACTTTAAACTATATCATGATTCTGACTTTTGAGTAATTAGTCCTTGTTTATCGGATAAAGAATTTATTAAGTATACCCAACAAGTTCAATTACATTATTTTTATTTTTTTTTTATTAAATATGATACTAATTATTCACTTATTTTTCTGTTTCGTATTATCAATTTAATATCCTTTTAGAATTTGATTTTCTAAGGATGGATAATACAGCCATTTCTTTATTGACCATATATCATATCAGAATGCATATAATTAAAAAATCTTGGAAATTTTTTTTTTTTAGATAAGTTCAATTTTTTTCATCAAATAGAATTTACATTTTCACAATTTTACATTTTATGGTATTCTTCAAGCGCAAGTAATTATAAAACATTAAAATAAGGTTAGACAAATGCAAGGCTTTACGCTATTATTTATATTGAGATACTAATTTTACTATAAATGTTTTTTAATTTTTAAAGACGGATATGGGTGAATTACGAGAATCTAAAAATCTATTCAGCCAGGTAATTTTTGTTTATAACAAATTTTCCAGTTTTTATTTTGTAATTATTTTTTTTTTTTACTACTTTTCGGGTCCGATCGTTTTGGAAGCATGCGATATGTGTTTTTTAGTTTCATTTTTAGTTTCAATTATTTTTTTTTAATTATCTTTCGGCTTAAATTTTAAATCTTTTTTTTATTTTAATTTCTGTTTTGATCGATCGCAGCGATTAATATATTTATTTTCATACTTTTGATTTATCATTTTTGTTTTTAAGGATCCTCTTTCGAAATTAAATTTTATCTTTCGATTTATCAAATCTAATTCTAAGGCCCTTAATTCTTTTTTTTTTGATCATTCCACCATTATTTCTCAATTCTTATTAATTTACAGCACTAATGAAATGAAACATTTTGTGACTTTGTGTATGGCAGCAATAGTTGAACTTGATAAGATTTGAAGAAAAGTAAATATTTTCTTATAGTTCTCATTATCTTGCCATTCTTCTCATCGAGAAATGGTCACAGGTATGATTTGCTTAGGTATCGTCAAAGAACGTACAGTTTAAAGAGAAATAAAAAAGTTAAGGTGACGATAAATACAAATGAATAAAACAAGAGTAAGAAATGGACGAAGGGATATAAAAGTTTATCTAAACAAAATAGATAAAGAAAGATGTAGAGAAAAAAAAGATCATTTTTACATATATTTTAACATAATAAATCATTTCTACTACTTTTAAAAGTATATATGCTTTTCTCTTAATGGAAAGTTTACTGTTTGGTGGTTTTTTTCTTTCAGTTTTTTCTAATAATATTAGTAATATTATACGAGAGCCTTATGATTAATCCTTATATCTAAGGTCGGTAAAATTAGAAAAACCTATATCTTATATATATTTATTTATACGGAAATTTCAGAATCATGTTGGTTATATCTTTCTGCTTCATCGACATGACAAACCGACACTCCTTAAATGTATATCTTAAAATTCCAATATAACATTTTTTAGGTAAACTAATTTAAAATGTAATAAAAATTATTAAAAGAACAAAGTTTGTTATTTGGTGATTTCAGGAAATTTTCTTAAAACATCATTGTTGAAAATCATAATAATTTATAATTGAATTAAGAATAATTATCTCACTCAATGATCTGTAACTTATTCAAACGAATTTCTTGTACATTAATGCAATTCCTAAGGAGAAAAATTTTGCATGCATGTGTAATAATGTGTAATAATGGATGAAGAAACAGGAAACAAATTTTAGTAATACTACTCCATAAATGTATCTATAAAATCAAGCTTCATAAATTTAATCATATCACTTTTATCTTAAAAATAAGTTTCCATACAGAGTGATAAAAGATGTCCAATTTCATTCATCGTGAAATAAAAAAATTTGTAATTTGATTCATAATATTTATCATTCAAAATTCATATTTTATTAAAGAGAAATTTCGACAACAGCTATCTGCTCATTGCAAATAGCGGAGTCAATTCTTAATACGCAATTCATTATTAATTATTATTAATGAAGTATCTGTCGTTTACTATTAAAATCAAATAATCTTATCGCAATATATATTTACTACAAAAATAAAATTTCATTCGCATATAAAAGAGAATGCTGTAAAGATTCCTTAACATTTATAGGCTTATCTCCAGCTTTTATCCCTTGGTAGCTCTGACGAGAATAGTGATAATAGACAGTCATCTAAGTTACTGTTAGCTATATACTCAGCGCTAAGTTTATAAATCTTAAATTTCACCTTCTTAAGTATTTATGGGGGCAATATGATCGGTAAAATAATTTATTTAATACGATTAAGAATACTTGTTTTAAAATGTGTATTATCAATAAAGTACATCTTTAACTGTATCGGAATTCATTTTTATGTTCATTTAATTCAATTTGGATTTTTTTTTTCATGTTGAATTAGAAACGCTTGTCGTTTCTTAGCTTTTAAAAATGTAAAATTAATAAACTGAAGAACATAAACAAAATTGATCAATAAATATAGTTACATTTTTACAAGGTTTAATTACTGACTCTTCATTTAAATATCTTCGTGCCAATGATACATAATAGTTATGCACAGATTCTATTTTTTTAAATTACGCCATTTAACTTCTTAGTCATGTAATAAACCTACTCAAAAAATCTTCAGGAAATAAAAAGAAAAGTTTATAAATGTATACATCATACATACTTCGTTACTAGTTATTAGGTAATTATGATAATCACGCATATATATAACACATGAATAACTCGGTTATCCTTCACTACGTATGGAATAACAAGTATTTATTAAATTAAAAAGAAATCTAAATTCAAAAATAATAAAAATCAAAAATTAAAAAAACCGAAAAAAATCAAAAACAGAGTCATTTGAGAGAAGTTTACAAAATTTGATTCTTCAAACCTTTTTTTTTACTACCTGTAAATTTACTTGTTTGTTCTACATTTGTTTTCAGAAAACAGAAAGCTTTCAAGGTTAAATTTTATTTATAATGGATAAACTTTTAATGATGTTAAAGTAGTTTAATAACTTACGTTTACTTAACCAGAATATATAACTGCTATATAATAGCATTATATTTTAATGTTAAGACTCTTAAATCTTTACTTAATCTCAAATCTTAAAAAAAATTATCACTCTTTTTATAATAGAACTTTACTTGATGAAAATAAATTTATAAACATTAATTAATGGTACATATAGAACAAATATTCCACATTCAGAAATAATTTCAAGTATAAATAAAATATTACGTTTACGTATCATATTTTACAATGAGAACTAAAGTATCATGTACCATAATGCATTTCTCTTGAGTTTATTCCATAATGCAATCGGGTACAATTTGATCAACAGAAACAAGTTTTATTTCAATTTTGGGTCATTTATTATTCATATTTAGGTTTAGGATGGTTAGAGATTCTTGGTATTAACGTGTATTACTATCATTATAAAAATTAACATTAACAACAAGCAAATTTTAATTGATATAAACGTGATCTACATAACTTTCTTTAAGGTTTCTTTAATGAGGAGTAACAAATGGTAAATTTTCATATAATGAAATCACTAATTGTTAAATAATTATTTTAATCAGTGTTTCGACGACAAAGTCGTAGCAATAGCAATAGTAACTACATAGACAATTTGAAAGTTATTTTCTTTAAGATTAAAGGTTTTCTAAAATGATGATGGTTAATAATGAAATTTATATGAAATATTACGCGTTAAAATATTAGTTATTTCATTTAACTTTCCTTATTGTCTATATATACGAAATTGTAGATTTAAAAAATTTAAGATATTAAACGTTCTTTTCTTTCAGATAACAAATTTTCTTACAATATTCGTATCCTCATTTAATACAGTGTATCTCTTAAAAATATCTAGTAATATTAACTTGAATGAATTGTCCCAAAATCATGTTTAACGTTGTAACTTGCATTAAAATTAAATATTATATATATTTTTCATTAAATTTAAAAAATTTAATACTACATTATAAAACGCAAATGCTACTGCGCCTCGGATGACCTCACACTGCGGCAAATGTAATACATGTTAATCATGTAACGCATGCGATATATGTGTCACATGTGACATTGGATTACATGTCAATATCGAACAATTTACCTTTCATTACGCATATTATATAGTTTATCTTTCATGACTTGTATTATATTATGTAATTTTCGTTATATGTATTATTTATTATTATCCCTTAAACTGTAGAGATTCACAGGCAAATTTGCCTGCTTATTTACTATAAATTCCCTTCTGATTTACTTTTATGAAAAATTAAAATTTTAAAAAATTTTTTTTTTAAATTAATTTTATAAATATATATAATATTAAAATAAATTTTATTTTTTAATTATATAAT